AGGCGCGGCCTGACGGGACTGTGTGCTAGGCGGCTCTCGGAGAAGCCGGGCTTGGTTGAGATTCATCTGAACAGTGTCTGGTTTAGACAAATCCAAGCAGACTCAGCTATGTCAGGGAACGTTCAAAACCTGAGTAAACCAGGTTTCAGGAAGATTCAAGCAACAGGTCTGGCCCAGGTCTTCAATCAGAGGCTGGGCCACGAGCAGCAGCCGGGTCGTGGAACTCTGTACTGGAATGAGACAAATTCCTCTGAGCTGCTCCAGTCATGGAATGCCAGCACAGTGAGGCTACACTTTTAATGAGTAAACTTTCAGTAAAAACTGCATAGATCAGCCCTTGGATTTTGGCTAAATACTGGTAAATTAAATCTGACAGAAGGGTTTTTTTTTTCATTGAAATCTGTATCTTAAAGGAAGAACAGCAATTCCAGCACTGCTGCTAAGTCTTATATTGAAGGCATTCAGGATACTGAGTGGGGTTTTCCGGCAGCCAAGATCAATGTGTGAGAAGAAAGTGGTGTGTTCATGCGTGCTGCACACTAAAAAAGTAAACCACACATTAAAAAGGCTGACAATGCTCTTAAGACTAATATGGTGCATCTCTTGAAAAAAGATAGGGGCATAGGAGTAAGTAAGAGGTAGCTGATTAAGTTGAGAAACACTGGCTTAGAAAAAAATACTTGATCTCAATTCAGCTGTTAGAAAAGAGAGGTGGCTCCTGGTACTAAAGTGATTTGGGGGAACTAGCAGAGCAATTAAACCACTTATTACAAGGTACAGGGTTGCGAGCTTGTACCCAAGGGTTGTGTAGCACAAGGATCAAGCTCGTTTCTGTTTAAGGCCCCCACATATCAGTTTCTGTGAGGCCACAGAGCAGAAGAGGTGACAAGAATGCTTGAAAAATTACGGAATTGGCTTTGTTGGACGGACAGAAATTAAAGACGCCACCACACACAGCAAGTCATCACGTAAACGATGCAGCTCCGCCATAGCCAACCACATACGGCGTCTCCCCCTGTCTGGGAGAACGAGCGCAAATCATGTTCCAAACCCGCCACTTCCTGGTGGGGCTCCGCGGGGCTAACGGGGGATACAAATACAGTCCGAGGACAGCGGCAGCAACGGAGACCTTCGGTTTCTGCTTCTTAAGGGGAATTATATCAAGGGAACCGCTGTTTATTGGGGGGTGCTGCAGCGCCCTTTGCTGCTCCGGCGCAAACACGGGCCCCGCCGGGGGCGGCAACC